GTTGACATGTGTTTTGAATTAATGACCGCTCCCTTTCCTTCACAGGGGCAACAATAGTACTCTGCTTTGGAAGTTCAGTAGGATACTGACAAGAACCAGGCTGTTCAAAAAAACTTTATTGAAGTTCAATGCAAGCCAGTCGCATTTCATTACAACACACGTTTACAAAATAGTATGTTTCCCTTTTTTGTAAAAAAAAATAATTGTGAGCTATAAAAGATTATTTACGTGTGTTTCATAAGACCCAAACCCTCTTATAAGTCATTACGCTATCACAACCACTTGTGAATGTTTAATTTTATTACTTGACATGTTTACAAATAGTACTATTCATTTATGTGATGAGCTAGAGTAATGACCTTTCCATCCTTCATACTTCTCAAAGGAATACATATTGTAAAATACACTTTGCTTTCTTTCCAAGAGTTAGATGAGAAGATTTGTACCACTCTCATGTCTGTGCATAAGGTATGGATATGAAGCGGGAGGCAATTAGCTTAGCTTAGCATAAAAACTGGAGGCAGAGGTAAACAGCTAGTCTGACTTCCTCCAATGTTCAAAACTACACCTGCCAACACCTCTAAATCTAATGGTGTATCTTGATTGTAAAATGTGATGATGGCAGTAATGGCACTATCAGATTCACAATAGCTGTTTCTCCCTGCTTCCAGTCTTTATGCTAAGCTAAACTACTCACCTCCTGGCTCGAGCAGCCGCACACAGTGTGGTATCTATCTTCTCTTCAAACTCTCAAAAAGAAAGTGAATGAGTGTATTTCCCAAACTGTTTGATCAACAGGAGTCAACAAGAGAGTTCCTTATTACTTTCTGCATTCTTACAGCAACTAAAAAAGCAAATGTCCCATAAAATGTAAAACAAAGGTCACCAGAGCACTCCATTTTAAATTCAGGGGGCATGAATTCTTCAATTTTGCCCAGTTTCTAGATGAAAGACAAGTCTTCAGAGTACCTGCTCTGAAATGACAAAAGATAAGCTGACTTTAGTTTTTACAATTTAAAAATGGGAAACAAAAAGGATGTGTCACTGTTTCATAATGTAACTTTACTGTGCCCATATAGTAGTGCATTGGAATGTAAACCTCTGAGTAGTCCAAACAGGGAAAAGACCACTACTTTAGTCAAAATCTGTGGTTAACAGCCTTCCTTTTTATTTTATTTCCCATGAGGTTTTCGTGGCCTGACGACCTCAAACATATTATTTGCTTCTAGTACATTCAACTAGACAAGACTCAAAATTCCCAGAAGATGTATTTTTATTCCTATTGATCTCACCATCTAAGACAAGGTTTTAATTCTGGTAATAAAAAAAATTAACACAATATAATTCTTATATGGAAAGGGATTGTTGTATTTGGGTTGTCTTTGGCTTTGGTCTACAAGAAAACAATCATCAAAAGTAGTTATGAGACCCATGTATGAAGGTCTTTCCAAAAAGCGCTCAACTTCAGGCCTTGGATAGTCTTCTTTTAGACTTCTCAGTTCAGTCTGTGGCAGCAGTTCTGTTTTCCATTTTTTAGACCTTCCTCTTGGTTCATTTCATGTGGCCATGTCATAATATCAGGGGAATGCCTCCTTTAAATCCCCATCTCCAATTTTAATTAGTTGCATTTGTTCATAAAGTTCTCAATTATCTTGCGTAATCCCATAAAAAAAATGGATTATTGCGTCTCCAGTCACAATGGATTGTATTCTTTCAGTTTATATCTCTCAAATCACACAAATCACCTCTGAGTCCATCTTTCTACTGTTTCTTGGGCCCAGTACCAGCCGTCACGGTCCGCTGCTGGGTGTTGATTCGGTCATGTGGGTATGACAAGCCTGGAGGTCCAGGTGTTCCGGGTGGTCCAGGTGGGCCTGTTGGCCCTGTTTTTCCCCTTGGTCCTGGTGGCCCAATGATGCCTGGTAGTCCTGCCTGACCCTGGATCCCCGCAGGCCCTGTGGGTCCTGGGACGCCATCTACACCGGTGAGGCCCATATCTCCTTTCTGGCCCTTCTCACCAGGTGGTCCTGGAGGACCAAGAGACCCTTTTGATCCTTTGATTCCTACTGCCCCTTTATTGCCACTGGGGCCTGTTTCACCTGGTGCGCCTTTGGGCCCAATAGAACCCTTCTCTCCAACAGATCCACGGCTTCCTATAGGGCCTCGGTCACCTTTGCTCCCAGTCAGTCCCATGGGTCCTTTTGAGCCAGTCTCACCACGGTTCCCTTTGGGCCCTGGTGGTCCAGGAGCACCTGTTAAAATAGAGGATAATGAGGTTAAAAAAATAAAGTATACATGAACTGTTGTGAATCTCACATACTTTACATGACAATATCTACGGTACCTTTTACTATAGTGAAGTTCTTTATGAGCTGGGTATGGTGAACATCCACAAGCTTCATCTCCTCCATCACCATGGACAGGTTCCTGACATCCACATCCAGTCGGACATTCAGCAACATGTTTTGCTGTCTCAGTGTGTCGGCCAAGTGCAGGAGTAACAAGACTGTGTTGTTTAGGTTCTGTACAAAAGAGAGGGGGAGAATAAAGAACATTTAAGGATGATAAAAAGACAACCAATCACATATGTGGCCAGAATTAAATCCATGAACTGGCAGTCAGGTGAGGGGTGTGTCTAATGTTGGATGTAGACGATACCATTTGGATCACAGACAGGAGAGGTGCATCTATGGAAAGGTACCTTAGATTTTTACCAAAATGATGCTTTTCAAGTGTGCTGTTCTGCATAGGCCTGAACCCCCTCGGCTAGATCATCACAAAGACTGGCTACGGATACCTGTTCCGAAGTGGAACGATAGAGGAGATAGAGGCCATTGACATCAAGACAAGAAAGCTCATCACAATGCATGGAGGGTTTCACCTCAAATCCAGAACCCTGAGACTGTACACCAAAAGTAGCGAGGGAGGCCGAGGGCTAGTTAAGACCACTGTCCAGGATGAAACGACAAAGATCCAGGAGTACATCAGGAAGATGGCCCCCAAAGATGAAGGGCTTAGTGAATACATCAGGCAGCAGAAACCCAAGGGTGAGGACAAGAAGACGAAGAACCTTCATGGAGGGACAAGCCATTGTGCGGCACAAAGGACAGCACAGAAGCACTAATCATGCACAAGAACAGGCACTCAGTACAAGATCAATAGAGGCTGGGGTCTGGGGCCTGTGCAAGGATGCCCCTGAGACAGTACAGCACATAACAGCAGGGTGTAAGATGCAGGCAGGAAGTGCATACATGGAACGCCATAACCAGGTAGCTGTCATAGTGTACAGGAACATCTGCCATGAGTATGGGCTGGAAGTCCCAAGGTCAGAATGGAGGACACCTAAGGTAGTTGAGAATGACCGAGCTAAGATCCTGTGGGACTTGATCCAGACTGACAAACTGGTAATAGCTAACCAACCAGACATCATGTTGATCGACAAACAGCAGAAGAAGGCTGCAGTGATAGATGTGGAAATCCCAAGCGACAGCAACATCAAGAAGAAGCAACACGAGAAGCTTGAGAACTACCAAGGGCTGAAAGAGGAGCTAGAAAAGATGTGGAAAGTAAGAGCAACAGTGGTGCCAGTCGTAATGGGAGCACTGGGGGCTGTGACCCCCAAACTGGGAGAGTGGCTACAGCAGATTCCAGGTAAAACATCAGAGGTCTCTGTCCAGAAGATACTGTGCAGAACCCTCAAACTCCCAGGCCTCTGGCAGAGGACCCGAGCTTGAGGATGAGGGGGATGTTTTTTTATATATATATATCTTACTATGCACGCGTTAAGCTCTAACCTGCATATTTTTGTCACAACAAAGCAATAAGAAAAAACTCTTCTGTGGTTACTACCTGTAGATCTTCTGTGTGTCTGCCCATGCGACTCTGACAGGAGGAGCTCTCGATGTTGATGTACTTGTACATGCTCTGAACGTGGCTAACGGTGGCGTTGATGCTGGACGAGATCGTTTCAATCTCCATCGAGATGGACTTCAGACGACCATCCAATGCAGAGAAACGCTCACCTGTCCGGTTCTCATAATACCTAAAGAGGACAGATACATTGTGAGTTTTTACATTTCTGGAATGGTAATACTCTTGGCTGCATGTTGTGTGTGTTGCATGTGTGTGTGTGTGTTTGTTACCTGGAATGGTAGTGAAGGTCATGCATGTTCTCCTCGTGTTCGTCCATGAAAGACGTCACATTGTCAAGCTGCATCTGTAGGTTCATCACCTGGAGAAAATACAAACATACTATATGTTGTATTTCTTTACTTGTCAAGACCCTTGCTGACAAACCGTACATTTTCATATAATGGCTGGTTATTAACAATCACTGAGAGGAGTGAAATTACCTGTAGCCTACAACAGCTCTCCACAGTACTACTTCAATTAATACAACAGAGTCATGTCATACCACGTTGCTGATATAGAAATAGTTTCATCAATCTATTCATTGAAGTTTTTCCACTTTTCTGTTTTTCACGATCGAAGTTAAGTTGCTGTCATTTAAACTAAACACCTCCAGTAGGGATTTCACATTTAATGCTTGCCAATCACAGGCAGGCTTGAAGACTGTTAATGTGAAAAAGTGAGTTGCTTTCACGTTAGCTTAACATTGATCAGGAAAACTGTAAAAGGAAACGACAACATTTCTCTTAGGTGAGAATGACATGACTGTTGTAGGACTGACTATTATTTACATTACACTCAATTTATCAAGACAACAGGTAAACATGGCAGAAGTTTTGAGTCTGCATTAACTTGGCGGCAGGGGGAAAGGCCTATGTCCAATGTTTGCCTTTTCCAAATAAAAGTCCTGGTTCTCTCTGCCTGTTGTGTCAATTTATGGTTACTTTGCTTTAGTTGTACTGAGCAATCCAAGCCTTGATTCACCCAGGGCTCTCAGGGCACTCCCAAACTGCAGGGGGCAATCATGCAACTACAGGGGGCAATCATGCAACAAAAGTTGGTGGAACCAACTTTTGGGGAAGTAGCTTTGGGACTATATTTGCCTGCGCACCCACAGAGAGAGCATGGCATTGAAATGTTTGTAGAGAGTTCGGTTGGTTCTCTCATTTATTCCTGGAAAAGGACACTATGATTACAGCTCCTGATCACTCAAAGACGCAACTGGTAGGACAATTTATGATTGACTGTGTTTGAATATATTGAGTTTTAAATGTTCAGGTTCTGCTTGGATTGTAATTTGCAATTTAAAATAAGTAATGGGGATTTGTTATGTGAATGTTGAACTTTACAGAAGTAACATGTGCATGAGTTTAATTACGGGATTGGTATTTTCTTGTTAAAATCCTAGGTTAGACTTAAGGATCGTGTTTAGTTTGGTTTGAAGATTCAATAGCATTTATTTATTACTTCTGTGAGAAAGTGGTATTGTGATTTATGTGTGACTGATTCATGACTTATCTGTAACTAATTCATGTTTTGGTTTGTGCATTTGAAAGGTTATCAACCTATACCTACTGCCCCACACTGATCTATCAAGTCACATTCAAGAAACTATACCATATTATTCCATCACTGGTCTATCAAACCATCTCAAAGAAAATAAAGAATCAAGAAGTGAAAAGATTGAGTTGTCCTTTGCGTTCTTCAGAGAGAAAAGCAGTTTTCAAGTTTGGGCTGAGCTGTAATCAATTAAAAACACACAGAACTTGACAGTTGATAACCACGGGTGGCAGTGAGAATAAGGATAAAAGGCCTGAAGTCAAGCTGTCAACGCAAAGGAAGAATTGACTGGAAACTTTTTCACCATGGCAAAGGAAACTCTTGGGAAGACAGTCAAGCAACTGAAACAAGAGCGGACCTTAGCTAAATCTGCTTTCACCAAGCAAGCAAACTACCTGAGCAAAGCTGCAAATGAGATGATTAAAGGTGAACTTCAAGAGGAGTTCAGCAAACTTAGTTCCTTGGCAAGACATGTCAGCGATGCAAATGATGACTACGGAGCTGGTCTACTGGCTGAAGTAGGAACTGAGGAGGATGAAGAAGTCAAGCTCAACAAGCACCAGCAGGCTGAACTTGAAAAGACAATGGAAGAGTGTGACATGAGACTGGGGGACATCCGTGAGGCAGTCCAAGCCAACCTCTGGTCAAGATATGGTAAAGAGGAGGTAGACTTTGCAATCCAAGAAGCGGAAAAAGCCTGTGACAGAGCCCAAGCAAGCCCCATCACTGCTATCAATAGAGACGGCTATGAACTGCAGCTGGAGAGAGCGAGGAAGCTAATCCATGATGCAACTGTAAGCCTGAAAGACTGGGAAAAATGGATCCCACATGATCAGACAGCAGACCTGAAAGGCAGGTTAAAAGACCTGAGAATATTCGGGAGCAACCTTGAGGCCAGAAGAGCAGAATTCCTCACCGCACAAAAAATTGCAGAAGAGAAAAGAAGAGGTTCAGACCAACAGCCTCAACAAACAGCAGTTCCACAACCAGTGGTGAGAATAAAGCCAACCAGCCTACCTAAATTCACTGGGATTAGGAGAAATTTCCATAGATGGAAGAGAGACTGGGAAAGTCTGCAAAAGCAGGGAGAACCGAGTGGATCAGTGGAAGTGAAGAAGTTCCAACTCCTTGACAGTGTAGATGAAAGGATATGTAGAGACCTGGGCTTGTCAACATACAACAGTGCTGAAGACATATTGAGAGTACTTCAAAACAGGTATGGAAACAAGTCAACGATTGCTTTGGAGATAATTGAGGACCTAGAGAGGATCCCTCCTTTAAAGTCACACCAGCCAAGGAAGGTAATTGACCTAATTCAGGCTGTGGAAAAGGCCCTGAATGACCTTACGGAGCTCGAAAGCACGGGAGCCATAAAGAATCCCCTTGTGATCAGATCCATAGAGAGCAAGCTCCCAGATAATATAAAGAGGGACTGGCTGGCGTTCATGGTCAATCCAAGAAATGGAGTCACACCTGACAAACACTTCGACATGCTTCTAACATTCTTAAAGACACAAGAGGACATTCTAGAGAAACTAGACCAATTGGGTGTAAGTGAAAGACCTGAAAAGAGAGCTACGTACCTGGAGAAGAGGTATGCCTCCACAAAGTCTATGAGGAAAGGAGGATGTGTTGTCTGTGGAGAGGAGAAGCATCGTGAGAAAATCTTCTTTTGTAAGCAGTTTAAAGAACTGGAACCTGGTGAGAAGCTGAAAGCTATCGAAAGGCTTGGAGCATGCAGAAGATGTCTGAGATGTCATAAAGAGGATGATGAATGTACGGACATTTACCTATGCAGGAACAGAGACTGCAGAAGAGGGAGCTCTTCAGATCATCATTTCTTTCTTTGTCTGAAAGGAGGATTCAAGAGGAAAGAATCTGTGAAAGTGGGGAGACCCAGCACCAGAAGGCAAACATTCACAGAGGAACAAGAGATATTGATGTCTGAGCTTACCCCGGACATGGCGGAAAAAGTCAGGAGAGCCTTCACCAATATGGCTGCAAAATCACACTGCACAGGGAGAAGTCTTCCTGGAGTGATGGACTCAAGCACATGTGAGTTACCAGTAATTCTTATGCTTCTTGAAGTAACCACCAACGCAGGACAGAAAATTGGAACTCTCATTGACTTAGCATCAGATACCAATTACATCACTCATATAGCTGCCAAGAGATTGAAACTTCAAAGTGAAAAGATCACGCTTGTCGTCCATGGAGTTGGAGGTATGGCCATGAAAGTAAGAACCAAAAGATATTTACTTAAGGTAAGAGTCAAGACACCTAGAGACACGGAAAGAGCTCATGAGCTGATCTGTTATGGGTTGGATGAAATTGCCAAAGTTCACAGAGTGATCAAAGCACAGCAACTCAAGAAGTTCTTCCCCGAAACCAACCTGGAAGATCTTCACAGACCAGAAAATGTTGAACTTCTCATAAGCCACCGTGAAGGAAGACTTGCTCCACAGAGAATAAAGGTGGTAGGAGATCTTGTCCTGTGGGAAAGCCCTTTAGGAAAGACTGTTGGCGGAGCACATCCAGATCTCTGTGAAGTATTGGGTATGGCCCTACACAATTCTGAAACTCACTTTGCACGATCAATGAGAATCACAGCAGTGAAGTATCAAGAAATTGCTGAGATGCAAGAATCTAGAGCTGAAACCAAAACCACTGTTATTGGGAGGGAGTTCTTGGATTGGTGGAAGTGGGACCGCATTGGTGCAGCCTGCGAACCCATGTGTGGAGGATGCCGGTGTGGTAACTGTCAGCCAGGAGGCAAAGACATGACTTGAGTGAAGAGAGAGAGCTTGAGGTGATCAGGCGAGGCCTCAGCTATGTGAAGTCAGATGCGCATAGTCAGGAGCCTCACTGGGACACAAAATACCCCTGGATTGAAAATCCAAGTTCCCTGCCCAACAACAGAAGCACAGTGGAAGCCACGTTTCTGAGGACGGAAAAACAGCTCAGAAAGAACCAGAGTGGCGTACAGCATACACAACTCAAGTCCATGAGATGGTGGAAAGGAGAGCAGCAAAGAAACTCAGTAGAGAGACCATTGCTGACTGGAAAGGACCAGTATGGTACGTCAGTCACTTGGTGGCACCAAACCCACACTCTGTAACAACACCTGTCCGACTGGTATGGAACAGCAGCCAGAAGTTTAGAGGGATCAGCATGAATGACCTTCTCCTGAAAGGGCCTGATGTACTTAATCCCATTCGAGCAGTGCTACTAAGGTTCAGGAAAGGAGTCCATGCTGCCCTCGGCGACATCAAAAAGATGTACAATTCTGTGTGGCTTGAAGATCTGGAGATGCACCTCCATAGATTTCTCTGGAGAAACAGTGGAGATGAAGAAATTGAGGAATATGGTATCACCAGGGTCAACATTGGCGATCGACCAGCAGGGTGCATCGCACAACTGGCCATGAGAGAGACAGCAAGGCTGCCCATGTTCACTCATCTGGAGGAGGAACGGAGAGTCCTTGAGGAGGATTCCTATGTAGATGACATTCTGACATCACATAATGACCTGGGAAAGCTAGACAGAACCACCAAAAAAGTCGAAGAAATACTGAAGGCAGGTGGATTCTTCCTTAAGCCGTGGGTCCGATCAGGTCAAAGTGGGAGGCAGACGTCTACATCAGAACGTCCAGCATCGTCAGATGAAGTCTTCATTCTCCCCAACCAAATGAGAGAAGGAGACAACAAAGCCCTTGGAGTTGGTTACCTGGTCGAACCAGACAAATGTACCTCATGACATTGATAAACTTCTCAAAGAGAAAAAAGAAGATGAGGATGAGCCAAAATCTCGTCGAAGAAGAGGTGAGAGGAAAAACTCCAAACCCATTGACTAGAAGACAACTGCTTAGCCAAGTAGCTAGTTTGTATGACCCAATAGGTCTTGCAACACCTGCCAAACAGAAAGGAGCCATTCTGGTCAGAAAAGCATTTCAAGAAGCTGGAGGCAAAACTCTAACACGAGACACATGGGACGCACCTCTGTCTGAAAGACTTAGAGAAGAAGCCATCCACCTGTTTGAGGAATACACACGCCTCAACCAAATTACCTTCCATAGAAGTCTCACACCAGTCAGAAGGATTGGAGAACCCTGGGGAATAACATTCTCAGATGGTAGCGACCAGAGCTATGGAGCTGTTGCATACTTCAGGTGGGAGACCGAGCAAGGCATCCTGGTCCGGCTTGTTGAGTCCAAAGCCAAGCTCACACCGCTTGACCAAAAGGGAGAAGCAGTGAAGGCTGAGGTCTGTGGTGCTGTGTTTGCTGCGAGACTCAGAAAATACATTGAAAGGCACAGTCGGATACAAGTTGAACGTTGGTTCCATCTGCTGGACAGTCAAACTGTGCTAGGTGCAATCCAAAGGGACAGTTACGGGTACCAGACCTTTTTTGCAAACAGAGTGGGAGAGATCCAGAAGTCCACATCAGTTGAAGACTGGAGATGGATTCCAGGTGAGCAAAACGTTGCTGACCTCACAACAAGAGGAGCAACCCCAGAAGACCTGAAAGAGGACTCTGTGTGGCAAAATGGCCCAGAGTTTTTGAAACGACCTGTTGGGGAGTGGCCGACAAAGTCAGCCAGAGATGTTGCTGCAGAAGCTAAAGAAGGTATAAACAAGCTCCAAAGGAAATGTTTTACAGCAGCACTGACCCGAGCACAGAGGGAAAAAAAACAACATGCTCTACCTACCACTACAATGCCAAGGTTCCCAATCTCTAATGAAAAGAAGGACGATCTGCAAAGCATCCCTAGTGGGAAAGGAGGGGACCAAATCCAAGTCAGGAGACCACCTTCTGGTTCTTCAGTGAGGAAAATCCTGGACATAAGTAGGTTCAGTAGTTTAACCAAGCTGATAAGAATCATTGGCTGGGTGTGGAGAGCTGCCACAAGATGGAAGGAAATGCTGGTCAAGACCTCAACTACAAGCAAACCAAAGAGGAAGGAAATTCCTTCAGCTCTTGAGATTAAGTCCAGAGTCAAGGGAACTACACTCACTATCATCGAATGTGAGGATGCGCTCAGGGATCTCTTCCTTGCGGCTCAAATGGAGGTAGCCTTACCTGACACCACACTCAGCAGGCTTGCTGTGGTCAGGGAGGAAAGC